TGCTTTTCCAGTGGAATTGGTTTTTTTGTTTGTTTTGTTTTTTGAAGATTTTATTTATTTATTTGAGAGAGAGAGCAGAGTTTTTTTGTTTGTTTTGTTTTTTGAAGATTTTATTTATTTATTTGAGAGAGAGCCTGAGCAGAGTGAGAGGCAGAGGGAGAAGCAGACTCCCCGCTGAGGTGGGAGCCCAACCTGGGGTCTGATCTCAGGATCCAGGGATCATGACATGAGCCAAAGGCAGATGCTTCACTGACTGAGCCCCCCACCCCCCCCAGGTGCTGCTGGTTTTGTTTTTTTAATTGGATTTTGTTTTCTGTGTTGAGCTAGTATCTTACAGATCTTGGAGCTAAGCGTGGAGCCTGCCTCTATGTTACACCATCCAAGTTGATTACCACCATACCTTGGCACATCTTCTGTATTTTTTTCCCCTCCTGTGATGTTTTTTACCCTCACCCAATTTTCTTCCTTGTTTTTAATTTTTTTTCTAATTTAATAACTTAAAAGGGCATTTTTAGGTTCACAGCAAAACTGAGAACAAGATACAGAAATCTTCCATAGACTTCCTGTCCCCACATATGCGTAGGCTTCCAGCTATCAATGTGTCCTACCAGAAAGGTACATTTGTTAGATGATGTTGATGTTGATGAATGTACATTGATACCTATCATCCAAAGTCCATAGTTTTACTTTATGTACTTTATTAGCCACTTAACTTTTTTTTTTAAAGTGAAATGAAGTAGGTCCAAATGAGCCAAGAATGGCGAAAACACAGAAATCTTGGAATACTGTAACTTTCTGCCTTTTAATGATGTCTGACTCAGAAAAAGAAATGATGTGTATAATTCTAACTCTGAGAAATTAAGGAAAGCTGTGTTCTGTATTCATTGTTTAATTGCTTTGTAGAATATGTAACATTTTATTAATATTTCCATCTAAATGTTTAACATTTTAAAAAGGTTAATTACTTCTAAGGGTAAATTTTAGTTCTATGGACAGTTTAGTGTACGGGCTAGAACTTTTTCTTAATGATTCCTGTTAAATTCTAATCTAATTTACTTTTCCTTAAATTATAAATAACTGGGTTTGCTTGTGATCCTTTCTGGTCTAAAATTACATGATTTCCAAAAATATGATCTCATCCTCACAGTAAGTCATAAGAGAAAACTGAAATATAAAGGGATTATTTTCCAGAAACATAGCAAGTTAAGAAGGCAGACTCAAAATCTAGGCCTTTTGTTATCACTACTCTGGTTTGTTTTCAGCAAATAAGAAACACTCATTAAACTTTTCTGTGATTCTTTATCTGGTCTGTTTCTGGCAACTAGACAGGTTTAATAACGATTACAGGAACAAATGCATACACAGTGCTTATTGTATGTGAAGCGCTATTCTAAGCACATTAACTCACTGGATCTTGACCACAGTGCTATCCAGCAGATGCTGTTACTATCCACATTTCCTAGATGATGAAACCGAGACCCAGAGAGATTAAGCAAGGTGCTAAGGTCACAGTGAGAAAGTGGCAGAGCCAGAATCTGACCTCAGATCAATACTTTTGACCCATCCACCAACCTGCTTCTCATATAATCATAGGTATCCCTTTGCTTTATATAAGACTTGGGATATGTTTTTGGCACTGACTGAATATTGGGAGAACATGAAGGCATTAAAAGAGCCTGAAAGAAAAAAATAAGTATTGACCTAAAACAGATGTAGTATAGTGGTCAGCCTCATATAAAGTATCTATCATTCAAAGGCTAAACATGGCATAGGCCATGGAAATATTATTCTTTTTTTTAACAGTGAATAGTTAAGTGCAAGTTTTTTTTAAATTTAATTTAATTTTTTTCAGTGTTCCAAAATTCATTGTTTATGCACCACACCCAGGGTTCTATGCAATACATGCCCTCCTTAATACCCACCACCAGGCTCTTAAACGATATATGACTTGATGCTGAATTTGCATAAATCAAACTTAAGTTGTTTTTAAAAGGAAAAAAACAAAAAGCCTTGCAAATCTCCAGTATTGCCTTAAATACATACAAACATAAAATTAGGTATAAATTCTTCATCTGTTGACTTTGCATTTATGAAATGAAATTCAATGTATAACTGAAGTGCAAATTAAAATAAAAGTCAGATTTCAATTGTCAAATGAGTACGTTCATTTGATTTGATACATGATGCTATCTGGCTGAAGCCGTTAGACCACTACAGGTTGAATATAGTGCTGGCTCCTCCAGTGCATATTCCTTTTGAAATCAGCATGAAGAAAAGCATAGCTTTGCCCACACATACTCCCTTTTCTTTGTTGGAACTACCCTGGGACCTTTGTTGACCCAGCTGACTATGACATCATCTTGTGTAGTTGATCTTTGACAATGGCAACTGTAGTAATTCTTCACAGTGCCGGCATAATAGTAAACACAAACACCTGTGGGAGCATTAAAATCTCTGGGTGGCTCTCAGGTACCTCTCTCACCTCTTGAAGTGACCTTTAGACCACATGTGTTCCTATGTATATTTCACATTACCATGGACGCTGAACACAACATTAACTGTCTTACAGGACAGTTGACTCCACCTTTTGAATCCAAGAACATCTAGGGGTCTAGGGGTCCAAGTCGAGGAACTATTGGTTTCAGATGCTGAGGTCACACTTTGGAATGCTAATGCAATACCAAGTTGGAACAACTTTAGCTATTGTTATTTTTTATTTATTTATTTTTTTGTTCCAGTTCATCTATCAAGAATTAGAAAAGCGCTTGTTAGGTTTCTTAGGGAATGGTACATAGGAATGGCAATTTTTTTTATAGGAGAAAAAGAATCTGAATCTGCTTGGTATGAAGAGTGGAATCACTTGGGGATTTCAGGTTAGGTACAGGGACAAATGAAGACCCTAATATTACTGTTAAACTAAAATCATGCTGAAATCTTGGGTGAAAAAAAAATCTTCAAAAGTAAAGTGTTAAATTAAAAAAAAAAAAAATTCCATTAGCCTGAGCTCAAAGGTGAATTTAATGCAGACTGCATCATTGAGTGCAGTTTTATCCCCTTCTTCCTCACTACCTCTCTAGCTGAAAAGGCCCCCAAATATTCCAGAAATGCCTTTCTTCTGAACTCATCTAAGCTCGCTGACTAAAGGCTGGAGTACTAAGTTTGAGGTTGTACTTTCTAGTTATTGATGATAATTTGATAGAAACTGAGGATCTTGAGAAATTAATAATGGTCTTAGTGCTAAGAATCACACCTGTTTGAGTAGCATATGTTAGCATCAGTCAGTCTGTACTGGATAACATAGGTGTTGTGGTTTTGCCACTTATTATTAGGCTAAATTGGGAAGATTTCCATCTTTAACCTTATTTGTGAAAAGTGTAGAATAATAGCTCCCTGAGGGTGTTGAGAGTTAAAAGAAAAAAAAAATCTGTTATAAGCATTACCCCTTGGTGTATTATAAATGGTAAGTATTGGTACCAGTGGTTTTTTTTGTTTATTTGTTTTGTTTTCTGCTCCAAAAGCAATCTGTGTTAGAAATAACTTGAGAAGAACATGAAAAGCAGACAATGCTGAATTGACTTTTGAAAGAAAATCAGAATGTTTAATTTATTGTATACACAATGCTTAATTATAAAATTTCACACTTGAGTCTCAGCCTTCATGGACACTCTGCCCTTGCCACTTGAATCTGAGGTTCAAGGATCTGAGAAGCTGTCGCATTCAGGGACCCTTCTCAGAAAGCAATGCTGTGACAGAGTCTGCAGATAATGTTCTAGAATTCTTTGCCACAAAAACAGTGATGTGCTGTGGTCTTGACTTAGAAAATACTGAGATCAGGAGTTATCAAATTCCTGCTTTATGATGGTCACTAAAAGCTTTTAAAAGTCACACTATTTATTTTTACTTTTATTTTTTTTAAGATTTATTTATTTGCTGTTTTAGAGAGTGTGAGCATGCATATGCAGGCAGGGGAGGGGCAGAGGGAGAGAGAGAGAGAGAAAATCTCAAGCCAACTCCATGCTTCCACCCCAGGCTCGATCTCAGGACCCTGAGATCATGACCTGAGCTGAAACCAAGAGTTGGTCACTTACCTGACTGAGCCACCCAGGCACCCCAAGACACACAGTTTGTTTTTTTTGTTTGTTTGTTTGCTTTTTTTTTTTTAAACAGTGTATTTTAAAGTGAATGGGCTGTGCAGAGAGAGAAAAGTTGCTGATTTCATATTTCTCCATAGAATCAGTTTTACGTGTTTTCCTTTTACTTAGCGATTTCACGGTTTCATTTTATTTCCCTTTTCATGAAGAAAATTGCGTAAGCAAATCAAGTGAAAAGAAATGGACTTCACTTGTATCTTAAGTGATAAAATCATAATTACTATCAAACATTATTTCAAAACTGTGTTTCTGGCACCAGCAAAATAATTCAGAATTTGCTTTTGGCTAAAGAACTTTGGCTAAAGTTGTTTAAAGGCTGCCGTTCTAAATCTCTTTATAGCCTGTTATTTTATCAATTCTTTTTTTTTTTTTTAAAGAGATATTTATTTATTTATTTGAGAGAGAGAGAGAGAGAGAGCAAGAGAGCCGGAGCACAAGTGGCGGGGGAAGGGGGAGGACAGAAGCAGAAAGAGAAGCAGTCTCCCTGCTGAGCAGGGAGCCCAATGCAGGGCTTGATCCCAGGAACCTGGGACTCTGACCAGAGCCGAAGACAGACGCTTAAGTGACTGAGCCATCCAGGCGCCCCTAATTTTATCACTTCTTTTATCATTTACGTTATTAATTGTATTACAGTAATCAATGAGTTATTAACCAGAATGCAGTAAAGTCAAAGACATTTCCTGCATGGGGCTTTCCTACATATGGGAACATCTCGTATGATTCTAAGTTAGAATCTCACCAATTCCCGTGCATTTATTTTCCTTCGATAAATACCTTCTCTACATACTACGGAAATGGCATATTAAATTCTCTTGGAACTGTGATGACAGACTTCCTTTGGATTGACAGGATCATGCAGACATTCGTTACACAGCAGTGGAAACAGAGCAAAGAAAAATCGAACTGCCTGCACAATAAGAAGCTGTCAGAGAAGAAGGTGAAATCTCCCCTGCATTTATTTTCTACCTTGCGCAGGTGGGTAGCAGATGACTTCTCGGTTGTCTTTCTCGATTGTGAGCACGGGCTACTCCACGGTTAGGTCCTTCAGGGCATTCTTTTAAGATAGTCTCGGCATCCACGCATTTTCTGTGTGACTTCAGAGAACGGACTAGGCCGTGTCGATTCCCTCAAAAGCATGGCTACTCGTTTCCGCATTCGGAGGGTTTGTTTCCGTCCCACGCGGTTTCGATGGCGGTTCGGCGCACGTGCTCACGGTGCGCATGCTCGCACTTTCTCTTTGCGCGGGACGGGCTGTGTCTAAACGAGGTGGGCCTTGTAGCCGAGTGCAGTGGACGGGGCCTCCGCGGTGCTCTCCGCGGTGCTCTCCGCGGTGTGTCGCGCTCCTGGTTCGCCCCGTGTTAACTGCTGTTCCGTTTTCAAGGTCGCCAAGTTACCCTCCCCCCGGTTGTGGTAAAAGCAAATCCAAGCTGAAATCGGAGCAAGATGGGATCTCCAAAACGCACAAGCTGCTGCGGAGGACTTGTTCCAGCGCCGTCAAGACCGACGACGTGTGCGCCACCAAGTCTCACAGGACCTTTGGTCGCTCCCTGTCCAGCGACCCGAGGGCGGAGCAGACCGTGCCGGCAATTAAGTCGCACAAACTCTTGAACCGGCCCTGCCCCGCCGCCGTCAAGCAAGAGGACTGCCTCACTCTCAAGTCGCATAAACTGTTGACTCGGTCTTGTTCCGGAGACCCGCGGTGTGAGCACAACGCCGGCTTGAAGCCCCACAAACTGTTAAGCAGATCTTACTCCAGTAATCTCAGAATGGAAGAGCTGTACGGACTGAAAAGCCACAAGCTGCTCAGCAAGTCCTACTCGAGCGCTCCCAAGTCGTCCAAGACGGAGCTTTTCAAGGAACCTAACGCAGAGGGCAGGAGGCTCTCTCTCACCTCAGGGCTTATCGGTATCTTAACCCCGTCTTCATCGTCATCTTCCCAGCCTGCTGTGCGTAAATACTTTCATCCTGAGTTCCTCAGGTTTTGGGGTGGGGTGGGGGGTTCGTTTGGGCAGGTCTGGTAGAAGAAAGAAACGAGATTTTCGTTTTTGTTTTCGTGTTTTAGAATTTACCGTTTGTTTCTTTTGGGGTGTTACTTAGCACGCCAGGCACTGGCAACCGGTACTGGAACGTGCATTTTGACTCTGAAAAAATAACTCTAGCTATTGATTGACAGTCTAGTCCAAATTCCTTTCGTGGTCGTGAATGCTGCTAAAAATGGAAGGAAGTCGGTTGGATCCACAAAGCTGATCCTTTTAAGCAAGCATGGCATTTTAATGTTTTATCAAGTAGGTTTATCTGGCCTCTAGTGTTCGTACGTCGGTAGTGGAGGACAAAGTTTGTCGAATAATTAAATTCAGAGTAATGTCCTTCCTTTTCTGGATGAGGACATTTGCCTATGAACATCGTAACTTATAGAGAGAATCAACCTCTACTTCTGTATCCCAGAGCTTTGCTTAAAGCTGCTTTCAGTGTCTACTTGATGAAACTGAAGTCACTTTACCCTGAAGCTTTTTGGTGGAGATGGGGCCGGAAGGTAACGGTATTCAAGCTTAAGCCCTCTGGGTGGTATTCACTGGGAGTCAGTCTTAGCTTTTACCTTTGGAGTGATCAGCATTATAGCCGATTTCAGATAAAGAAACAGACCTCCCTTATGTATATTAATTATGCAAAACAATCGATAAAAATGTTGTTTTCTTCCAGTAAATGCGTGTGTGTGCTGGGGTAAGAGTGTACTTGACTCTTAACCATACATATGGATACACCTACAGTAGATGGCATTGAAAAAAAATAAGATACATCTTCAGAAATTTGTGCTACTCTTGTATAGCTTTATTTCTAAAATTACATTGTAAATGATACCATAAAATTATACTTGTGTTAAGAAAATGTATGTAAGTATATTGATAATTTTAGGTGGACCCCTAAAAACCCATTTCCTATCAAAAGTAAGCATTAAGGACACTTAGAAAATAATGTTGAAGTGTTAACATAGAAAGTTTCCCATGAGAGTTTCACGTAAAAAAGAATTTCACGTATTCTGTAAAAGAAAGTATCTTACTGTCTTCTGTATAATTAAGCCTGATACAGTACAGTAGTTTAGTGGTGTACCCCCTCAGTAGCTGTCTCATATGTCCTTGGAGGAATAATTCTCATTGTAAAATAAGATGGAAATAATCTAAATGAGGAGATGGGAGCATTTGACAGTAAGTAGTAGTGGAAACGAGCTTTTGTGATCATTTAAAAATGCCAGTCATTTTTACTAGAAGATCAAAAATTAAGAATGCTGTTGGGTTAGCTTAGACAAGGCTTGTGGTAATAATGGCAGAAAGTATATTATAATAAAGAAACTCTAAAATCTTGATGTCCGATTCAGTGATTTAATTCATATTACCGGTGACCTTCGATCACACACTTGTATTCACTGTTTCAAAAAGTCAAAGGCTGTAATTCATCTGTTCTCTGAGTTAAAAAGTTATTTTCTTCTTTTACTTTGCTTTTTTGTAGCCAAATGGTGCCAAATGCATTCCAATACGAGACCGCGGCTTCCTAGTGCAGGTAAGATCCAAGCAAGCCATCCATTGCAGAAATATGTGAGCTTTTAAAGGGTTTTCAAATTATCTATGAACTTGACTTAATTATTTCTCTTTATTATTTTTTTTCAGACAATTGAGTTTGCTGAACAGCGGATCCCTGTATTGAATGAATACTGTGTGGTTTGTGATGAGCCACATGTGTTTCAAAATGGCCCTATGCTTAGGGTAAGTTCTCATTGATAGAATTTCAGTGTTGATATAGGATATAAAAGGGTTAAGATATAAAAATAAAGAAGTATATAACTTGATTTACAGTGCATACTGTCTAATGAGCAAATTATTCAATACACACAGTGGTGTAATTTTGGCAAATGAATCACTGTTTGTGAAGGAATCTGTGGAAGACAAGTTGTTTCATATTAGGAAATACTTCCTAGCGTATTTCTTATATGTGCATATCTATCATCTCTCTTTCCTTTCATCTATTTATATCTGTATTAATATCAATAGATGTAGATGTAGGTGGATAGAAAGATAAATGTAGCTATAGATGTATATATTTAAACTTATGAACAGTGTTTCTTCAAAACCACACAATTTAAGATGCTTACCAGCAGAGAAAAGAGTAGAAGTCGGAAGAGTTACACAATAGCACACAGAGAATCTGAATTTTAACGATTTCCAAAAAATGCCAGCTCACTGACACTTTTGGGGCATTACTGAGGGAGTATAGAAAGAAGAATCAATGTGTATATGTTCCCACAAAAAATAAATCTTTCCATTTATTTAGATATGTAGTTTGGGAGGAATGACCCGATTTCAAGTTTTTCTATAATTTTAAAATTGAGATAAAATTCATATAACATATGATTCACTCTTTTTAATGTATACAATTCAGTAGTTTTTAGTTTATTCACAGTGTTGTGGAACCATTACCACTGTCTAATTCCAGAACATTTGCATTACCCAGAAATGAAATCCATAACTGTTAGTGGTCATTTCCAATCTTTTCCTCCCCTCATTCTCTGGCAACCATTAATCTATTTTTTGTTTCTATGAATTTGCCTATCCTGGACATTTCATATAAATGGAAGCATACATTATGTGGCCTTTTGCTTTTGGCTTCTCACTTAATGTTTTCAAGGTTCATCCAGGTAGCATGTATCAGTCTGTATTTCTTTCTTTCTTTTTTTGCGGGGGGAGGTATAATAATATTACATTACATGGATATATGACACACATTTTCCATTCATCATTTAATGGAATTGCTGGTACATATGCTAACTTTAAGTGTTTGAGAAACTACCAAACTCTTTTTGACAGTGGCTGTACCACTTTATTTTCCCCACAAGCAGTGGATGATGGTTCTAGTTTCTCCACATCTTCTTCAACACTTGTGATACTTCTTTATATATAGTCTGAGTGTGTGTGAAGTGGTATGTCATTGTGGCTCAGATTTGCACTTCCCAAATGATTAGTGATTTTGAGCATTTTATCGTGTGCTTATTGGCCACTTGTGCATCTACTTTGGATAAATGTCTGTTTATATTCGTTGCTTGTTTTTAACTGGATTATTTCTCTTTTGTTGTTTAGTTGTTAGAGTTCTTTATATATGTATGTGTGTGTGTGTATATATTCTGAATACTAAATTTTATTAGATGTGTGATTTGCAGATATTCTCCTATTTTGTGGTTTTTCTTTTTAACCTCTTGGTAGCATCCTGTGACACACAAAAGTTTTAAATTTTAATGGAGCCCATATTTATCAGTTGATCTGTTGCCTAATCCAAGGTCACAAAGATTCACACCTATATTTTCTTTTATGTTTTATAATTTCTGTCTTACAATTAAGTCATTGATCCTTTTTGAGTTAATTTTTGTGTATGGTGTAAGGTTGGGTTCTAAATTAATTCTTTTGTATGTAGCTATTCAGTTGCCTCAGCACTGTTAGTTGAAAAGAGCTTTCTCCATTGGATGATCATGGCACCCTTGTTGAAAATCATTTGACTGTAGATGTATTGGTTTATTTGGACTCTTAATTTTATTCCACTGACCTGTATGTGTATCCTTCCATCCGTGCTACACTGTCTTGATTACTGCACCTCTGCAGTAAGTTTGGGAAGCAAGAAGTGTGTGTCCTCCAACTTCATTTTCCTTTTATAAGATAGTTTTCACTGTTCGGGCTCCCTTGCATTTCTATATGAATCTTAAAGTCAGCTTGTTCATTTCTGCCAAAAAAAAAAAAAAAAAAAGAAAAGAAAGAAATAAAAGGTAGGGAATTTTATAGGTTTGCATTGGATCCATAGGCCAGTTTGGGAAATATTGCTGTCTTAACAATTTTAACCCTTTTAATCCATGAACACAAGAAGTTTTTCCATTTATTTGGATCTTTAAAAGTTTCTTTCTACACTATGTTGTAGTTTTCATTATTCAGGTCTTACACATACTTTGATAAATTTATTTTTTAGTTAGTTTATTCTTGTCACTCTAATCAACATTGTACTAGAGGACATAGCCAGGGCAATTAGGTAAGAAAAAATAGTAGAAGGTATTCAGATAAGAAAGGAAAAACTAAAATGATCCTCATTTGCGGATGACGTGAGTGCTGTATGCTAGACCCTGTATGGATAGATATTTTGCATATTGCTTCCTTATTTGATTTTCACAAAACTCTTGTGGTTTATGTGTTTTTTCGCTCATTTGCTCGTGCAAATAGGATTAAGATAGAAAAAGATCAAGCAATTTGTTCAGCATCACCCAGCCAGTATGGGTAGAAGCTGGACTTTGAGCCTATTTCTGCCTGTCTTCAAAACTGCATCATAAATGCTTATTGAAGACTTCCTCAGTATAAGGCACCAAGCTAGATTCTTCTGTACTTTTTAAGAGAAATTTGTCCTGTTCTTGGGGATATATATTTGAAAAGACAAATTATAAAGCCTAGAAAGAGAAAATTTTGTCAGAACTTGTTTGCATTTCAGGATGTATTCTTTAAGAAACATGTAATAACCATTTGTGATCATGATCTTGTGTCAAAGTCTAAGACTTATTTAATTTTACTTGTTTATGGGAAACATATATATAAAAAATTTATCTCACTGCTCGTACACTATTCTTTGTCAGTCAGCTTTTTTTTTCTCAAAGAGATACATACAATGTTACTCTGAAACCCAAATTAACTAAATCAGTGTTTATTTATTAAATATTGGGGCCAGTTTGTTATTTTGATGTGATACATGGAAGCGTGTAGTTACGATGAGAATAAGGAGAATCCTTTGGTCATTTCAGTTTATCCCATCAGAAGGTCCATCTTTATTTTGTTAGTGTTCATCTGTGGATCTTGATCTGTTGCATGATCAGTGGCAATGCGATCTTCACTCCAGAAGGTTATAATAATGTTATTGATGGCACGTGCTTTTTGAGTGCCTTTTATGTGATCATGTGTTCAAAGTGTTTTACATGGATTATTATTTGATTTAGTCCTCTCATGATAACCCTGTGAGATGGGTATTATTATTACCCCTGTTTTACAGATGAGGAGAACAGTAATTTATTTACTATCAACGTGGCTAGTAAGTGATAGAAATGAGACTCAAACCCTGGCAGAATGCACCAAGGCCACAGTTCTTTATCAGGATGCTACTCTTGACTCATGTACTTGAACTGACTACTTTCACATCCTGGATATTTTCTGCACGTGTTGTGGTCCTTGTGGTTCAGTACTGGCAGTTCATTTCTATAGTAAGTGATAGAAGTATCCTGATTGCTATCAGTATTCTCTGTGCCTTGCTTCAATTTTTGTTTTAGTTTAACTGTTTTATTCTGCACCAGAATTTCTTTCTAGAAGTGGAAGTTCTTTTGTAAATAACGATGTTTTCTAAGTAAGTATAGCTAGTTTTCTGCTGGTTTTATGTTGTTGCCATTCAGACTGATATCTAAGAAATCAGAAAACCTACTTGGGTTTCTTAAATAGAAAGATAAGTGACAGCTGAAATTAAATGAGGAAATGGAAGTCAAAGGAAGAGAAGTAAACAAAAAACTGCCTCTTGATTGTCTTAACCAGATATTTAACCTAAATCCGGCATACTCATTTTTTTCTGTATCTCTCTTATATTTACATCATAATATGTTTTACTGTAATTTTAATAGAAATGTATAAAATTCGTGCACATAAAATTTCTTATGGAGTATTAATCACTAAACTGACTCATTGACCATTTATTCAGCACAGATGACACATTACAAACTATAATAACTCCTAGAGATGTAAAGAGGAGACATTATATCCCAGTGAGTGATTAAATAAGTCAGATAAAACTCAGGGTTCCAGAGAATTCTATATCTAATATTCATTATGTTTGTTAGATCTCTTTTATTCAAAATTCAAAGTGTGTCTTACGTTTTTTCTCTTTTGTCTAAGCATGATTATTTATTGAATGACATAAGTTGCCCTTTACTGCTATTTCCCAGAAGTCTTAACATTTTGGTCACTACTTGTACTCTTCTGTCACTTTACTCAGAGGTCTGGGTAAGCGTGCCATACTTTCTGAAACATGGGTACCTACCATGCTTACTGATTTAGAAATACCACAATGATTCACTTATCTCTTTGTTCACAAAGGTTATAAATGTCACTCCCAGGCATGAGGCCTGACATGTAAAACTTTGCAAATGCATAAAACTCACATTAACATCACAAGGATTGTTTTATAGTGTCCTGGATTTCCCATGTGGCAGTGCAGTTCGGATTATGATCAGAAAACCAAACCCAAACCCAGTAGGTGGTTCTCTACATTTTGGAATCAACTAGAGCATTAAGACAGCCAACTGTTGATGCTTTAAAATGTTGATTTTTGTCTTCATCCAGTGTTTTTGGAAGACACAAAAATAAGGATTTATTGCCAGACTCACCACTGTTTTCTAAGCCTCTTCCTTCCTAGTGCCCTTGTCTTTATGTTATACTCACACTGAATACCATGATCAATGCAATTGTTTGTCTTCTTTTTTGAACCCTGCAGAAGGGCTGCTGAACTGGGTTGGAGAAAACCATGCATATGGTTGTAGGGATTAAGATCTCTGTAGTTAGAAATTTATCATTGGTACTTGGCAGTCATTCTGTATGTCCCTGGCTAGTAGACTTTCCCATTTCCCAGATCAACATATGACATGAAAATTATGGACCTCGTTTTCTTCTCCTGTCATGTGAAAATATTCCAGATTGCTTGCTGT